TCTTTTCCCGGAGGAGGGGTGTGAATCTCACAGTAGCCGCGTATCCGAAAAGGAAGAAATGAAGGGATTTTACGCCGCGCTTGGACGTCATTCCCAGCTACCGGCGTAGGCACAGATTTTGGTCCCTAATGAACTTTATGGAAAGAGCCCGACCTAGTACCTGTTTGGGGATAGGTTTGATAACAGTGCTTCTGTCCTAAATAGCCAGAGGGGCTGAAGGACTTGGTAGAATTGTCCTGCGAGACTCCCATCCAGTGCTTTTGAGATAGTAATTCTCGGAGGTAGCATCAAAATCAAAAAGGATAGAAAAAACTTTTTAAAGTTACTTTATTTATTTTCCCTGCTCCTTTTCTTTTTCGCCCTCCTCCGCCTCGGGAACGTGTTGCAGTGCTTTGTGCAGGGCTGCCGCCGCTGCAGTGATGCTGGCAGGATGTCTGTCGAAAGTGCAAGGTGTCAGTGTCATTCACACCATTTGGAAGAGGCAAGGCTGGGTTTCGCTCTTCCAACATGCGCTTTCCATTTTTAGCTTCATTCAGACGCAGACAGCAGCTCCTTTCCTCTTCCTCTCCTTGTTTGTGACACTTTTTTGAGGCAGCTTTTCCACAGGCGACTAAGTGGTCTCACGGCCATGACCCCACATTTTCTTCAGCGTGGAATATTTTTTTTGTCTCTGAGGCATTAAGGAAAGGGTCTGAAAAAGGTAAAGCGGTTGTCAACGCAGGGATTTTTTCCTCTTTGTTTTTGTTCCCTCATTATTACTGAGGCTGGTGTTTTAAGGTGCTGCTTCAGTCAGAGCAGCTTCGTTTACACTGCTTTTTGGCTATTACTCAACTGTACCAACTATCCTGCATACGCTTTTAAAGTGTCACAGACTACTGTATTAGTCACGCTGTCTCAACGGAAACCACAACACTGAAGGACAATGAGGATTAAAGGCTGTTTTCTTATTTTCCAGGCTGCTACACAGTGTAGCTCGGACGCTGTGAGTTTCAAGAATCTGGTGAAAGGGAGAGAGTGGACAATGAAAATGGACATGGAGGATGCTGACATGACTCTGTGGACCGAAGCCGATTTTGAAGAGAAGTGCACGTACATTGTGAACGATCACCCGTTGGATCCCAGTGCCGACGGAGGCACCCTAACTCAGGCAGAGGCTTCCTTGCCAAGGAACTTGACTTTCAAATATGCATCTAACTGCAAAGAGGTAAGCGGCAATGCTCTGGGGAAGGTTGGAGTCAGACAAGCCAAATCACAGCGCTTTGGAAAGTGTGTGCTCACCCTGGCTTCCATTCTTTAACACACACACGCGCGCGCACACACACACATACACACACACCCCACACCACCACCAACAGCAAATGCCGCCCGCTGGCTTTTAAGATGGGACCCTAATAAGTCTTTTAAGAAACTGTGAGCTGGTCACCTGTCATGTAGTATTTTCACTGGAAATTGCAGCCAGCCTATCCCTGCAACTGGTTCTGTACCAATTCACAAACAGTTAAATTTTCACACAATTTGGACAGCATCTGAATAAGCATATTTAAACTGTGGGGTAGTTCTCTGTGCCAATTTCTAGACTGCTGTTTGCCAGGACCATTCATTGCCTCTGGCTCAGAGATTAAAGTGCCTCGGTTGTCCAATAAATAGCTTTAAAAAAGTAGAGGGAAAAAAACCCCAACAAATTCCTGGAAATGTGTTTAATTATTTCTTTTTGTTTTCCATTTGGTTATGAAATTGCTTTATTCTTTTTGTGAACTTGCCGTATTCGCGACTTCCTAAATTCTTAAAAATTCCAGCGTATCGGTTAAGGAAGTGGTGGTAGAACTGTAGCAAACTTGACAGAAGGGTGGCCGTAGCTTAAATTAACTTTTGTTTATCTGGGGCAGTATCTTCACTGGTAGCTAGCCGTGCGAGTCTGTCCTATCCTTGTCCCTGGAGTGGGTACATTCTTTGTTGTTGTTTCAGAAGGGCTGGAAAGAAATAAGCCCGGATGAGCAATTTGGTTTTGTGTTTACTCCTTCATATAGAGTAGCTATTATAGCTAGGTGTGATGTTCGGCAGGGTAATAACCCAAGGGACAACCCTTCATTTCTCCTTGTGCTGAGACTTGTGGTATAGCAGCTATTACCTGTGCTTCTACTTTGGCTAAACACACTGACCACAGAGCTGAAAAGAAGAGGTACACTCATCCGTGCCTATCAAATATTTCCTTTCAAAGTAGGTACTTGTTTAATCCTGCGTACAGAAATAGGGCCGGACCCCCAGCTGGAGGGTATTGGCACTGTGGAATTTAGCTTGGCAGTGCCTAATACAGTGCCTAATAGTTTTGGTAAGAGGTTAAAGCTAAATTTTCCTGTAAAATCACTCTTCTCTTCCCATCTGCCCTGCCCTGCCCTGCCCTGAAGAACTTTGGCAGAGAGAGGACATGCTCCAGAAAAAAAGTGCGAAACCTTGTTTGTGTTACTGCATCGTTAGATAGGTCTTCCTTTTGGGGGGGGACATGGGGGAGATAAAGCTGCGACTCCGCTGTGTGATACAGAAGGATTTCTTGGTTGAAGGATGAGTTCGCAGCACGACAGCTCGGGTAGATCCTGCGCAGCCGGCTGGTGACTGATTGGCTGCTCAGGCTGCTTGTTCTCTCTGCCTTCGTGGCAGGAGATGTCCGAGGAGCTTTCAAAATTCCCAGCGCTGTGTTTGGAAACACCGAGGTGTAATTTCCTTATGCTATAACTCCGGTCAGTGAATCAGGGTAGGAGGATTGCTGCCATCTCTGTGTAAGAGGTGGGGGGAGAGAGAAATCGTTGAAAGATTCCCGTTTCTTCCTTGTAAAATGTGACCCATGCAGCTCCCTGCTAGTGGGAGTCTGAATATAGGACATCCTCCTTTTGTTCTCCAGAGTTCCCCCCGGTCTTTTATTTGTGCTGAATAGCACCTACCATAAGAAGCAATAGGAATTTTCAAACCCGGACGATTTCTAAGGTAGCTCTGAAAGAAAGAGCTGATCTGATCCTTTCTTCCCCACCTTCTGTGAAAGCTACAGTCCTGTGAGTGTACGGACAGGTCACTCGTTTGCTAGTTGTCTGCTGGGTGAAATAGTTATAAATGGCGTAATCTGCTTGCATTCTAGCAACTTCTCTTGTGAAACATGTATTTTTTTCTGTCTGCCTTCTAAGTTTGATTTTGTTCAGTGGGGTCAGGATGATGCGTGTTGCTCTCGCACATCAGTGTTTGTGGGGTCAGTGAGGGAGCCTGATTCTGCTCTTGGCCTCATGGAAAACCACTGGAGTCCTGACAGCTTGATAGGGTGGGTGTTTTTCACTTGCGAAAGGATGAGGTAAGACTTCGGGGGATGCATGCGTGCGTGTTGGCCAGTGGGTTTCAGATGTGAGCTGTCTTCATTGTTAACTTTGGGGAGAGCTGTGGCTTCATCTGGTTGAGAGTTTTAAATGCTGAGTCAGTTTATTGACAAAAACATATATAATACATCGCTTGTGAAATGCTAATACTGTCATGATTAGATCATTAAATCCTAGTGCTGTCATGATTAGTATTATATCTCCACTTGGAGTAGGAAAAGTACTGCGTGCCTGCTTAGCAGGGAGGAAGTACAACCGCTGTTGTTTGGGGAGGGTTGCTTTTGGTGTTTCTTTTCCTTGCACGCTTTGTGAAGCGAGTAGCTCCTTTTTAAAGGTTTATTGAATTTGCAAGTGAGTCCATGACACGTCATACTTTTGTTTATTTTTGGATCTTGATCAGGGATTTTTCTGAAGGACACATTTTTCAGTATGAGTTCACAGTATGTGTCAGCATTTTAAAAAATGAATTACTACTGCTTGTAACATTTTAGGCTGCTAGATTTACATGAAGTCATTTATTTATTTCTATGCGTGAATTATTTATCCTTTGCTCCAGTTTTAGCAATTGACAAAAAATGATGAAACGCAGTGCCAAAATCACGCTCTAGAAAGCCATATGTGAATGATATTTTTCATGCAGACGTTTAAAAACATTTTTTTTAATAATTTTCCCCTTTGGTCTCAGTTCTTAAAGCCCCAGCAGCCCTTCTTGATATAAAGTGCCAGTTATTCTGCTGTCTTGAATATTACTAGTGCCTCCTGGGCCATGAGCTTGACAGAGAGAAGCATACCTCAGCAAACCCATTGCTTGTTACATTTCTCTGGTAAGGCCATTTCTTAGAGACGGACCTTCAATCAGTGATTTTGATGAAAGCAGTGATTTTGAGCTGTTACGAAGCATGCCTCGCTGACCTCAGATGCTTGCTCTCCCCTATTGCTTTTATTTTACTTCTTTTATATGTGGTCACCCAGGAAGTGGTCTGAAAGCATTTTATTTCATGGCATCTCTTTTAGAAAACTGGTCACTGAACGAAAGGGTAAAATTTATGTGGGCTTATATAACTGTAGAACTAGTAGTTAAAAAAAAAAATAAATAAAAATCAGTGTTATTCCAGGACCGTCGATGGCCTTTCCCATTTGCATTTGGAGAATACTGTTATTTCGCTGAAGCCAGTAAGAGTTTGTTCGGTGTTTGTTGTTGTTTTTTAAAGTGGTTTATCGGTCCCGTTGCAAAATACCCCTCCCCTTGCAGAATTAAGAGGGGTCGTTGTTTACTTCCCGTGCCCTCTCTCCCCAGACAAAGATGTAGGAGCGTTGGTCTTTCAAAGCGCCTTTTAATATCAAATTTTGGAACCCGAGCCCATCCCTCTCTCGTCCTAGGGCTCTACCACCCCCGGCATCCAGCCCTGCCCCTGCC